GTGCCTCTTATAAATGGCTAGCCAGTGTAAGAAAATGGAAATGGCTTTCCTCTTTTTACTTTTTTTAAAATTTACAAATGTCTTTATTAATTAAATGGTAACAAGCTTGTCTGGGAGGAAGAACAAGGCTGCTAGAGAGAATATTAATTGCTGCAGCAGCTGGGGCGGAGCCTGCTGGAGCAGAAACCATGGTTGAGAGTGCCACTCCTCTTGGCCACAGCTGTCAGTTTGATTTCCATGGGGTTCGCCCGTGTCTGCTGCACACTTCCCTGCATTCACAAAGAGCCAGTGGAACCTGCCCCCAGGAACAAAAGAAAGTATCAAGAACTGTCCTGGGTTCCTAGAAGTGTGTTGACAGCTCTGGTGTCCACTCTAGTTTGGGGGACTTCTCTTTGCAGAGATTGCCCCTGCTAGGAGTTCTGGGAAAGTGAAACTTTGAATGGGTAGTGCCCTGAACCTTCCTGGTAAAGCTGTTAAGGCAGCAGAGAGGGAGGAGATGGTGTCCAAGAGGAAGGGCACCCTCCTGGCTGGACACATGCTTATGTGTTAACTTTGAGACTATTTTTTTCCAACTATCTGAGTCCGGAATTTTAACCTATTTTTGGCTTCGTTCTGCTTCCTTGCATCTCATGTCCTTAGCATGGAAACTTGGGTGGCTTTGGTGCTTCATTGTCATTTGCTCTATATCAAGAAAGCTCGGTTTTAGCCTCTTACATCTCCATCACCACATCACCCTGTGTAGTGTGGCTTTAACAAAACACAGAGAAATTGCCCAAACTCAAACCCAAGGGGATCAGGAGTGGTTGCTGTCCTTGCTAGTCTCCCACGTGAACCTGGGAAACCCCTGACAAACCTGAAGGAGGAGCCACTGTTCTCTCCTTCCTGACAGAAGTGACTGTTCAAACTGCTGAACCTCCTGTCAGCGAGTAGAACTGAGAATGGAGAAAGAGCAGCACAGACAGCTAGTCTGAGAAGGATCTGAGAAGGACTGAGAAGGATCAGTTTTCTGGTTAGGTTTAGAGAACGAAGGAAAGAAGGTTGAAGTGGGCCTGGGTGGGATGCTCTCTCAGGGAGTGCCCTGGTGGTTCCCACATCTCATCCAGTGTTGGTTTTGCCGCATATAAAATTAGAATAGTTGTCTATTATTAGAATAGATTAGGACACACTTGTTCTGTTCTAAAAAGTCTTTTGGAGGCTGGGCGTGTGCCTTTAATCCCAGCACTTGGGAGGCAGAGGCAGGCAGAGATCTGTGGGATCAAGGCCAGCCTGGTCTACATAGTAGAACCTGCCTCCAGGGGCGGAAGAAAGGATCCAGGTCAGTTGGGGCTACAGGCAGACCTGGGCATTACTGTCTTGAGTCCTCCTGTCCTAGCCTTGTCTAGCATGAGACTTCCTCAGCCTTCTCACCCTCCTCCCAGCTTGTCTCCTGGTGTAAGAGGTTTCCAAGGCTGCTCCAATGGTGAGCCCTAGTTTTCCAGGTCTGAAAGCCCTGGGATCTCAAATGGGTCCACAAGTCCTTCTCCTGCTTCTTACTGTGGTCAGGCCTGCCTTTCCATATGGCCTACACTCAGATCTACCTCTAACTAGTACATCGAATTGGAGCAGCCTTGGTGTCAGCCCCCATCTGGCAGGTTCTGTTCTCTTTTATTTGAAGAACTTGAGACACCAACCCAGAGAGAGAGATAGAACGCTCTTTCAGATAACACAGTTAGACTGTAACCCTGACTGCCATTTGCTAGCCTTCCCTAATTTTTCTGGTCTTATAGAATGGAATATTCCCACCACATGGAATCCTTAGGGTGTGTGTGTGTGTGTGTGTGTGTGTGTGTGTGTGTGTGTGTGAGTGAATCGTATGTGGCACAGCACACCTGTGGTGCTCAGAGGACAAGTGTTCAGCTTCGTGTTCCACCTTGAGACAAGATGACTTTGTTGCTCACCACTGCATACCCCAGGCTAGTCCTGAGATCTTCCAGGGATTCTCCTGTCTCTATCTCCCATTTCAGTTTAGGAGAGCTGGGATTATAGACATGGCTACCACGCCTGCCTTAATGCGGATTCTGGGGTTCAAACTCAGGTCTTCCCACTCACATGGCCAATTCTCTGCCTGCTGAGCCACCTCCACAGTCTTCCTTAGGTAAGGTATTAAGTTAGCTATGGTGTTAAGCTATCCAGGTCAGGAGCTGGGCATGTCTGAAGTCCTAAGAGACTGAGGCAGAAGGCTCATCCTGAATTTGAGTCCAGCTTGAACTACATTATAAGACCATGTCTTAAAATAAAATCTGGGCCAGGTGTGGTGGCACACACCTGTAGTCCCAGCACTGGGGAGGCAGAGGCAAGATCTCTGTGAGTTCAAGGCCAGCCTGGTCTACATAGCGAGTTCCAGGCCAGTTGGGGCCTGACTCAAAAAAAAAAAAAAAAAAAAAAAAAGCAAGCAAGCAAAAAACCCAGCAACAACAAAAAGAAAAAGAATTCAGTACTGACAGATCCCGCAACTCTTCACCCAGGAACTTTGCAAAGTTTTTAACCTATATCTGAGGTCTAGGATTCCAGCTGTTAAGTGAAGGTTTAGAGCTGTACCCCAGAACCTTCTGTCCTGTCACTGGTCACTTAGTATCTCTTTCTTACAGAATATGTATTCATTGAATGAGTGATTATTGAATGGTACTGTATGCCTAGTCCTAGAGATTCTGTAAGACATGGAAGAACTGGACAGAGCCCTGGCATGTTCCTGTGGGCGCACTGGCAAAGCAGGAGATGGACAGTAAGCAGACTGTCAGGGTGGTGGTGAGTGCAGTGGAGGAGAGGAGACCCCAAACCTCTTTGCTTTGTGTTGTCAGTGTGCTGGGCCATCCCCACAGCCAGGATTGTGTGCTGGTCCCCCACTGGCTCGTCACACAGCTGGGGCTCAGGAAGCCAGTTCTGTCACTGCACCAGCTTTGCTGAGTGGAAGCAGAATGCTGTTTGCTCACCTCTGGAGTAGCCTGGATGATTCTCTGGATGGATACTCTAGTGGGTGGAGGAAACCTGCGATGTTTTATCTGAAATTATTTGCTAGGTCTAGAGCGCCCCCTGCTGTCAGAGAATAGGAAAGATCTCAGCAGAGTTTGGTTGGGGGTATTTTTGTTTTTTCCTTTTTTTTTTTTTTTTGGTCTTTTTGAGACAGGGTCTCTCTGTAGTCCCAGCTGGCCTGGAACTCATTATGTAGACCAGGCTGGCCTTGAACTCACAGAGATCCACCTGCCTCTGCCTCCCGAGTGCTGGGATTAAAGGCGTGTGCCACCACACCTGGCTCAGCAGAGTTTTTAAAAGTAGTTTTCATTTTTATCCTAAGATTAAAAACTTGCGGGGCTGGAGAGATGGCTCAGAGGTTAAGAACACTGGTGGTTCTTGCAGAAGAGGGTTTGAATCCCAACACCCACATGGCAGCTAACAACTGTCCATAGCTCCAGTTCCAGGGGATCCGACTGCCTCTTCTGTCCCCCACGGGCATTGCACGACACGGGTGCACTTACCTACAAGCAGTGCACCACGTGTGTCAGTTCCTGTAAAGGCCAGAAGAGGCCATCAGATCTTCTGCAACTGAAATTACAGATACTTGTTAGCACCTGTGTTAGTACTGGAACCAAACCCAGGTCCTCCACACAAGCAGCCAGTGTTCTTAACCTCTAGCCATCTCTCCAGGACCACCCACTTATTAAAAATTTAAACAGGTGCTGCTGGGACATGTGACGCTCTTAGAGTGCTTAGGGGAGGCCCAGCTGTGGGGGAGGGAGGGGCGGAAGCTGTGGGGGAGGGAGAGGCAGGATAGGCCCTATCTGTGCTCTTGCTACTTTTAGTAGCTCCCAAACGCTGCCCTCCTGCCACAGCACAGCCACAGCCAGCAGTTATCTCTGCACACAGGTTCACGCCTGCCTGAGGCCTTGGGCAGCAGAAGTGAAACTGACCATAGTCTAGTACATGTCTCTTGTTGCCACTGTTCCCTACTTGAAGTGAGTCACATTTTTCCCCCCTCCTCCTTGGTGTCTTAAATCATCATTTGCCACCTTGCAGTCAAATGTCGGGAAAGGAGACCTGGTCCATTCATGGTGCAGTGTTTGCAGAGGGACTGGGCTGGGCTGGGCTGGGGCTGGTTTTTGCCACCTGACATTTTTTTTACTGGAGGCAGAAACTGAGGTGGCTGTGGTAGTGGCCCCAGAGTTGAGCCCAACCCCGTCAGTGGCTGGTCAGATGTGTTCCTTCACCAGAGTCAGTCATACAATGGCAGTGAAGGCTTTTTAGTCCTTGGAAATGAAATTCAAGGGGCTGGAGAGATGGCTCAGCAGTTAAGAACATTGGCTGCTCTCGCAGAGGACCTGGGTTTGATTCCCAGTACCCACGTGGCGGCTAATAGCCCTCTGTAATTCCAGTTTCAGAGGATCCGACGTCCTCTTCTGATCAATGTAAGCATTGCATGACCCGGGTGTACTTACATACATGCAGGCAATACATCATACACACAAAATTAAAAAACAATAATTAAAAAAAAAAAGAAATGAAATTCAAGTTTGTGTTAGTGTGGTTATACCAGCTGGGAAGGAAACAGCACCTCAGAGGACACAGGTCTTTTGGGTTTACCTGTCCCCTCTGACTGCTACAATTCCTAATAAGGCTGCAAAGGTAAGGCCCTGCTTACAACTCTACCCTGACTAGAGTGTTGGAGGCTTGACTGGTGGGGCCATATATATTACAGAACCAAAGCTCAGGATTCCCATCAGGAATCTTAAGCAGACTAAGCCATAAAGACACATGCTTACTTGGGCATCACAGGCGCTATTTCCTTTTAGGATGCCTTCTCCACTCAAAATGGTAGTATTGCACATGGTATATCACTGGAAGGTTTTGTTTGGGGGGTGCTGCTGGGGACTGAGCTCAGGGCCTTGCATGTGCCAAACAAGTGCTCTAGCACTGAGCTACACCCCCAGCCTCTGAAAATAATTCCTTTCTGGTTCTTCTCTCAACAGCTTTGAAAAGTCCAGCTGCATTTCATGAGCAGAGAAGGAGCCTGGAGCGGGCCAGGGTAAGGCACCCTTCTTCCCAAAGACCTACAGAGTGTACTTCAGTGCCCACAGTATCATTGGCTATATTTCTAAGTCCAGCACAACTTTAGGTTAGCTTTGTCTCAGTGCTAAATAACAGAACCCTTTCTTCATCCCTTCCTGTCTACTTTCCACGGTGCTTATGTAGAATGTGGTCAGACTCTCCTTTAGTGCCTTGGAGGCCATGGGATGGTCACCCGTGCACCTGCCCTGATCCTGGCTGTGAAGACCATTCATCTTCCCTACAGTTAATTCCACCGAGCCTCAGGCTCTTGTGGAGCACAGGCACCTGTGCTGTCCATGGACAGCCTTTCCACTTGGAGACACCACCCACAACAGCCTTGTAGCCACTCGAGGAAGCTTCCATCTACCCCAGAGCAGCACTTACACCCTTTGTAAAGTGGAAGCAGGGCCTACTCAGGCTTCCTGCACTAGCCTGTTCATTGTATCCCTTGTCCCCCTTAGTTTCAGTTCTCTCGGGACTCCTGGGAATCATCCTGCCTGGTGTGGGTAGAGATGGGGAGGCAGCCAGCTCAGGTTTTCCTCCTGCTCCCAGTCGAGATTTCTGGCCTTCACTCTCTGAAGTCTCGCACCTCTCTTAGAGACTGATATACTTAATCCTGATTAAGACTTTTTTCCCCTCCTTAGAAAATCAGGATTAATTCTTAGTGGGAAGAATGGGTACTGGAAACCAAAACAGCACAAAATTCCGCTGGTTTTCATTTGCCAGGAGTCAGAGAAGCAAAAGAATCACATGCCACGCATCAGAAGATTCACATTTCTCAGTGCTTCCCAGACAGGCAGGGAACAGTGGGACCTGATCAGGCCACCACTGTTGCACATGCCTGTGGACAGATTGTATTTCTTATTGATCCACACAGCAACTCTGGGGAATTAGGTGCTATGACCCTCATTTTACAGAAGCAGCAGGAAAGTGAGCTAACTTGTCCAGCTAGTAAGTGTCATCTAGAACTCAAGCCTGGGCCCATGGAGTCCAGATTTTTATTCCAGTTTATTTATTTGTGCATGCGATGCACCTGCATGAGTGCCCTGATGTACTGATATACATGTGGAGGTTAGAGGAAAACTTGCAGGTTCTCTCCTACTACATAGGTCTTGGGAATTGAACTCAAATTGCCAGGCTCAGCAGCAGGTGCCTTTTATCACTGAGCCATCTCACAACCTTTTTTTTTTTCTTTTCTTTTCTTGAAACAGGGTCTCACTATACAGACCAGGCTGGCCTCGAACTCACAGAGATCCACATGCCTCAGCCTCCCACACCCTGGGATTAAAGGTGTGCTCCACCACTTCCAACTTGCTTTGCTTTTTGTTTTAGCAAAATAATTTTGTTTCTTAATGCATGGTAAACATATTCATTCTATATGTGCTTATCATGAACACATGTTCACAAATGATTTACAAGTTACAATAACTGATTTAATATTTAAGCATGCACTAAACTATCTTAAGTAAGAGATGAAAAACAATGCTGGGCATGATGGTACACACCTTTAATCCCAGTGCTCAGAGGCAGAGGTAGGCAGACCTCTGAGTTTGAGGCCAGCCTGGTCTACATAGTGAGTTCCACGCATGGCCTCTCCAGGTGGGTTCTCCCAGCACCTGCATGAGCTCACCAACCTGGAAGTTCCTCCAGACATTCTCGTAGTACTGTATTCCACCTGTGCCAGGCCGCTGCTGAGTGTGTCGTGTGGAGAACTGCAGCATGTGCCACCTGCTCCTCCATCTTCTGTAGCTTCAGAGGCCACACTGCCACCCACTGCAGATGGGATGGTATGCCCTGAGCCCACAGCTGGGCTTCATCTCCTGAGCCCAAGCTCTAGGGTGGGCACAGAGCTCCAAGGCAGCAGCCATCAGAGTGAGGACCAGGCTGACTTTCTATGAACTGTGTGCCCTAGTCATTTGTGCTCTACTGTAACCCACCCAGTCTGTCCCATCCTGCCTGTTCCTTCTTAGACTGGTCTTGATTTCAGTTTGAAAAATGCCAGTGCAGAGGTTAAGAGCACAGGCTCCACAGCCATGCACACATTATAGTCAGCTGTAGGTAGTGAGGTGGTTCAGTGACTGTTGAGGGAAGGGTTAGTTCCCCCAGAGTCCTTATAAATGCAGAAATGGGGACATCAGACTTTGAGGAAGTAGAGCTTTGATACAACATGTCAAAATTAGTATTGCATTTGGCAGTCATTCAGACTGGGTTGAAAATGCTCCAGATCACACAATGCTAAGTTTTTGAAACAGGACATAAAATTAGATCCAGTGTGATTACAGCTCTACAAAACTAAACTTCTACATGAAAGAATGACTAGAAATAAGTATCAAGAAATTAGCGTTGGGGCCAGGCATGGTGGCGCACGTCTTTAATCCCAGCACTTGGGAGGCAGAGGCAAGCGGATCTTTGTGAGTTCAAGGCCAGCCTGATCTACATAGTTCCATGCCAGCTGGGGCTACAGGGAGACCCTGTCTCAAAAAGACAAAGACCCCCCCCAAAAAAAAGAAGAAAGAAATTAGCATTGGATGCTGAAAATTTGTTACTGTTTTGCTTTCTAATTTTAATTACTCCTGTAATGGTATAAGTAGTAATTTTTATTTAATTTAAATTTTTAAGAAAATTTGTAAGTGTAGAGTGTTTTGCCTACGTGCATGTAAGTGCACATGTGTGTACAAGTCCCCTAGGGGCCACACCAAGAAGGCACAGCCTAGCCCCAGCTCAGCATCTGAAGAGATCCCCTGGAATTGGAATTACAGATGGTAATTACAGATGGTAACCCAGGTCTTCTGCAAGAGCAATAAGTGCTTTTAACTGTTTAACTGCTAAGCTATCTCTCCAGCCCCATAAGTAACTTTTTTTTTCTTTTTTTCTTTTTGGTCTTTTTGAGACAGAGCCTCCCTGTAGCCCCAGCTGGCTTGAAACTCCCTAGGTAGACCAGGTTGGCCTTGATCTCACAGAGATCTGCCTGCCTCACAGAGATCTGCCTGATTAAGGATGTGCTCCACCATGCCCAGCTCATGAGTATCAATTTTTAGACACACTAGTGGACTGAGAGGAGCACATGGTCCACAAGGATGGTGCAGGTGCATTGGAGGCCCATGTGCTCAGACTTCCCTTTGCCTGAGGACCTGCAGTGACCATGTGAAATCCACAGTGGCTGCTAAGGTGACCACCAGCAGCCACTTCACAACAAAGCTTGTTTTCTGGCTGTTCACGCTGTAAACTTGCATCCCAGATTTGAGATCTTCTTGGTGTTTTTGTTGTTGTTTTTTTCCATAGACAGAGGACTATCTGAAACGGAAGATTCGTTCCCGGCCAGAGAGATCGGAACTGGTCAGAATGCACATTTTGGAAGGTGTGTGACCCTGTTCTTACCATGCCCATACTGCAGTACCACTTGCTCCCGCTTGCTTACTGCTGCTGTCCATCTTCTGTTGGCTGGGGCCAGTCATGGGTGTCACAGAGTCAGGCACAGTGCTGTAGCTTTCCCTGGCTTTGGGGTATGTGTGAGAAGCACAGTCTCGTTCCCTTGGGGTCACCTGGACCTGAGTCTACCATCCATTGGGGTGAAACTACTTCTCTTCACCAAGACAGAGCTCCCCTCTCTTTTGGAATGTGCATTTACTTAGTTTTTGGATTTGCTCGCTTGCTCACTGATAGTCACCTCAACACCTGTGGTGGACACATGGGCTCATCTAGATGGGCTCTGCCCAGCCCAGCCACACTCTTCTTTCTGTAGTTTTTGCAAAGGAAAAGTTTTGGCTTTAGGAAGTGGCATATGTCTGTCCACTTTTTATTGCTTAGTTGGTGACCATTTGGGACCAGGAGGAGACCTTCTCCAGTCAGAACCCCATATTTTGCTAGTGAAACAAGAGACTCTGAACCCAGAGCAGAGTTGCCTAAATGGCCTAAGTCTGAGTAGGAGCAGGAACCAGTCCCTTATCTGGTGCTCCCTGGTTTCTGCAGCTCACCTAGAGAGTCCTCTGAGCTGGCCTGGCCACTGTGGTTACCCACCACTCTGCTGTGCTTGACACCTGTCCTTCAGGAGCTCTTAGGGCAGGACCAGGGCCTCTCCTCTTCCTGAAATCTTCCTGAATATAGTTCTCTCCCATGGCAGAGACCTCGGCTGAGCCTTCCCTTCAGGCCAAGCAGCTAAAGCTGAAGAGAGCCAGGCTAGCTGATGACCTCAATGAAAAGATTGCACAGAGGCCTGGTCCCATGGAGCTGGTGGAGAAGAACATCCTACCCGTGGAATCCAGCCTGAAGGAAGCCATCATTGGTGAGGAGGCTCCGGCCACCGTGTGGATTGTAGCCTGGATGTAGGAGTTAGGGGAGGAGAGAGGCAGAGACTGAGTTTAGGAGGGACTTTAGGCAAGACACATGGAGCAGGATGCACTAGGGGAGGGGGCTGAGAAGATGTGAGAAAACATCCGGGGGTGAGGTAGAACCCAGGCCCAGGAGGTTTGTCTTAAATAGGAGGGACAGCTTAGTGTCTACCACATACTCATGTCTGTGTACACACACACACACACACACACACACACACACCACCCCCACCCCCACCCGCCTTCCCCTCAGACCACTCAGTTACTTGTTTCATGTACCTGCTGCTGATGGACCATGGCTACAGCTGAGTTTCTTAGGACTCGGTTCCCAAAGCCAGAACAGGCTCTCCTCTAGGACCCAAGTGTCCCTGCAGCTTACCTGGAGCTCCTGTGTTCCCTTCCAGTAGAGTATCAGCTCTGCTTCCAGTACACAGCTGGATAAATAGAATTTGTGGTGACCCTGGCCCACACCTGGGCTCGGTTCTCGCAGCCTGGCCAGCAGCTCCTTCAGGATGGACCCATCTCAGTGGGTGCTATAGCTTCTCTGGCCTGGATCACCATTGCCATGTGCTTGGCCCCTCCTGACTTCTGTCTCAGAGCAGGTCCCCATGCTGGGATAAATTGTGGGGGAAATCTGTGCGTAGGATTGGCATGAGGCACAGGGATAGGTGAGGGGACAGAAGAGCAAGCCCCACTATGGTATTCCTGGCCCATCGCTGTACTCAGCCAGTAAGGGAGAACTTAGGTGTTCCTCCCAGGTCCCATGGGTATAGAAAGCCTCAGGTCACACTTGAGAGGCTGCTTGCTGGGTGGCTTGTTCCTCTTCCTCATCTGGGGTCTTTCCACCACAGTACAACCTGACGCCCACCTCTTCCTACAACTGTGGAGTGGTTATGACATGCCTCTTGAAGTGTCTCTTTAGCCTTTGTTCCTACCTTTCCTTCCCTCCGTGGCCGGAATCTCCACATCAGGGCCCAGCAGCTCTGTGCGGCCCTTGTCTTCTGCCTCTGTCCCCTCCAGCCAGCTTCCAGGAGACATGTACTTCTGTCAGTATGTGGCTCTGGGTCTAGTAGGGGCAGTTACAGCAGCAGTGTTTTCAAGACTTTGCTGCGCAGGTGCTAGGTCCTGGAGTCACTGGCCTGTGAAAGGAGTCACATATCCATTGACCCCATGCACCTGTGAGGTAGGTGTCCCTTTCCAGGGGCCCTCCATCCACAGCCTCAGAGCTCCTTGGGCTCTTCTGGCTTTGGGAACTGAGCCCTAAGGAGAAGCTGCACTCAGCTTGCCATGGTCCCTCAGCAGCAGGTACAGGGCTCTCACTGGACTGTAAGCATTAGGGGAAACTGACAGCATGGAGTTTAAACAAGAGGCTAAAAATTAGGGTTCTCCTAAGCTCCTCAGTGACTTAGGCAGCCTCTGGCTGGCCTGTTCCAGAATGCTGACTGTGCCCTTCCTATTTCCTTGGCATTAAAACAGGTTAGCCTCTGGGTTCCCTTTACTATTTGCCTCCTGGACGTGGGGCAAGTCCTCTGCTGTTGCAGCCCTTCTTGCCCATCTACCTCTGCACTAGATTAGCTACAGGGGGAGTCTCATGCTGTCTCTGTGTTTCAGTGGGCCAGGTAAATTACCCAAAGGTGGCAGACAGCTCTTCCTTTGATGAGGACAGCAGTGATGCCTTATCCCCTGAACAACCTGCCAGCCATGAGTCCCAGGGTTCAGTGCCATCACCCCTGGAGTCCCGTGTCAGCGAACCACTGCCCAGTGCCACTTCCATATCACCCACTCAGGTGAGCTTACCCACTTCCGGATTCTTTCCCACACCCGCAAAGGCTTCCCAGAGTCAGGCCTCTGTCCTAGGCAGGGTGGGCAGCTCCTGCTATGAACTGGGGAAGAAGGGATGTGTCCCATATCCCTGGTGCTAGCCTCTTGGTTTCTGACAGTAAAGAGGTGTTGGCAGTGGACCCTAATTCTGGTAGCCTGAGCCCACCTGGAGCCCTAGAGAGAGGCAGGGTTGGGGCCCTGCAGCTGTGTTCTCAGCCTCCCTGGTCCACCTACTTTCATTGGCTCCATGCCTAGCTGCCTGCCTGTCTGAGCACACTCAGTTCAGTGATGCGGCTGCCACTTCTGCCTTTCTTTTCTAGCTCCTTCCCTCACCAGCCTGGCCTAACACCCTGCTCTCATTCCCCCGCCTCATTTGCCCTCTGATCATGGTGACGGCACGGCAGGCTGGGCACGCTCCACCTGGGGGTGCCAGTGTCCTCACTTCTCTCCTTTCAGGTTCTTGGTCAGCTCCCAATGGGCCCAGATCCTGGAGAGACGCTTTTCCTGGCTGAGCAGCCGTCTCTGCCTCCTGCACCTCTGCTGCCTCCAGGCCTGACCAATGGAACCACGCCCCCCACCGCCAAGCCCGCCCCCACCCTCATTAAGGTATGTTCTGCTGGCAGCTGCCGTCCTTCCTTGTGTCCCTTTGAGTTCTGCTGCGATGTCATTCCAGCTGTGGGTGTAGGGTGCCCATATTCCAGTATTCAGGGCCCAGCCCAAGAATCTGGGAATTTCTTCCCTTCTCTCCACTGCCCATGATGGCACTGGTCCATGGCCATAGCCCATTAAGTACTGTCTAATTCCATAGCTCTTGTTAATTACACCACAGATTGGATATAGATTATAAAGAAAAGCAACTTGGGCCCATGAGATGGCTCAGCAAGTAAAGGTGCTTGCTACCAAGTCTAACATCATGAATTTGAGCCCCAGGATCCTCATGGTAGGAGAGAACTGATTCCTTACAAGTTGTCCTCTGACCTATGCACATGTGCATACATGCTCACGCGCGCGCGCGCACACACACACACACACACACACACACAAATAAAATAATTTTAAAAACAAAAAGCTGGAGAGATGAATCAGCATTTCAGAGAGCTTGCTACTCTTTCAGAGGATGGGAATATAATTGCCAACACTGATGTCCCAGCTCATAACTGCCTGTAACTCCAGCTGCAGGGCAATCCAAGTCCCCTCTGGCCTCAGCAGGCACCTTCACACACATGGTATACACACACACACACACACACACACACAGATAAAAAAGAAGTAAAACCTAAAAAAGGAAACAGGTTTATCTTGGCTCAGAGTACTGGCCCAAGACCTTCTTGCTGGTGGGGTCCTGAGGCAGCTCAGGGTATGGCATGGGGTGGGGAGGTCAGTATCCAGAACTCCCTCATGGAGACTTCCATCCTGATGACCTTATGTATTACCTCCCAAGGCCCCTCTGCTTACAAGCTAAACCACTGTCCTTGTCGCACCTCACAGGGGGAATAAGCCACACTGACCCCATGGCAGGCACAGGGAGCCAAGCACAGGCTTCAAACTCCTCAGGGTCACACGCCCCACATTCTGCCTCCTGGCTCAGAGGATCCCAAAGCAGAGCCAGAAGTCTGTGCTGCAGATAAGCACGCTGAGAAGGGGCACATCCAAGATCGTGCAAGCTGGTCCTCTGTAGAGTGTGTGCTTTTGTGTTCTTTCCCCGAGGCCTAACCTGAAGCACCAAGGGGAGGGGACCGTTTATCATTGGAGTGGGAGATACTGGGTTGGGCACCCTGGCCTCGTGTGCAAAGGGGTCTGATGCTAAACTCAGCAGCACTGGGATTGATACCAGGGCCTCTGCGCCTTGTAGAGCTTTGTGGCTGTTTGGACACCTAGCCCCCATTGCTTCACCCTTCCCCTTTCTGCTCTGGGCTACCTCCCCATACAGACCCTGCACCAGCTTGGCCTCCCCTGGCCACCCACAACCTCTTTGGTTCTGAATCTGGAAGGGGCTAGTGACCTGCAACCTGGGAGCTGTTCAGGTTCTTCTCTTGCACTGTTCACTGAGTCCCTGCTTGCCTGGGGGCCTCCTGTCCATCTGTAGCAATCCCTCAGAGGCCCCAGGCCCAGGGGTGCTGCGAACATGGGCCTCTTCAGTGGCACTTCTCTCGAACCTGCATTCTGTGCTCCACAACTTGTGGGTGTCACAGGTTTTCCCAGCTTTTCTCAGCTTCTCCCTAATTCACACTCCATGGCCTTCCTCTAACCACATGTTTAACAGAGGTCTGTCCGTGCTTCCTCTTCACTGATGCACTCCTTAGTCGCTAGTGGTTGGCTGACCAGTGCCAGGAGTGGGTGAGCATTATCCCCTCCTAGGTCCCAACTCCCACCTGGGGCCCAGCCTCCAGGCTGCCCTTTCTGGCCTGTTCCTGGTTTTCCCTCCTTGTGATGCTTTGCCTGGTCCCTTTCCTCCTCCCTTGGCATGGGGCTGCCCTTTTGCTGACTCCATGACCTCTCCGACACATTGACAGAACTAGGACCTCTCCCTGGCCCCCAAGAACCCCAGCTTCCTCCCTGCTTATGTCCATGCTGTCTTCCAGTACTGGGCCACCTCTGCCAGACCTCCTTTTTGGTCTCCACTGTCATTAGGTCAGACCCCAGCTGATCTCTGCATTGCATTGTCCTAGTGTAGGAATTTCCAGGCTCCCCAGGGTCCTTTATCCCCTGATAACTTCCCTCATTCACCTCTCCTGCCCCAAGGACAGGCCTCTTGAGCACATCTTCTTGGCTGGGTCTCTGGCCCTCCTGGTTGTTCCAGCTGGAAACCTGTGGGGCACAAACAGGAACTGCCTAGATCAGGAACAAGGTCACTGTAGCCTTGGGCAAATGACTTTTCTGAGCTTGCTTCCTTGTTTTCAAGTCTGCTAGATGGTTCCTGCCTAGTAGGCCTCTTGGGAAGAGCCATGGCCCATGTCACGCAGCTCAGCTATGGTTTTGCCTCCTGATTGTTTCACCCTGCTCAGGGTCATGGTGACACCCATGCCTCTCCATCTGGTTGGTCTCCCCTCCAGGCTGCCAGCTCCATTAGGACAGGGGCAGTCCTGTGGAGCCGAGGCCACCTCAGATGCTGAACTGGGCCTAGGCTGTGCCTTCTTGGTGTGGCCCCTGATGTGCTGTCTCCTGTCCTGTCAGCAAAGCCAACCAAAGTCTGCCAGTGAGAAGTCGCAGCGCAGCAAGAAGTCCAAGGAGCTGAAGCCAAAGGTGAAGAAGCTCAAGTACCACCAGTACATCCCCCCGGACCAAAAGCAGGACAAGGGGGCACCCGCCATGGACTCCTCCTACGCCAAGATCCTGCAGCAGCAGCAGCTCTTCCTGCAACTGCAGATCCTCAACCAGCAGCAGCAGCAGCAGCACTACAATTACCAGGCCATCCTGCCAGCCCCTCCCAAGTAGGAGCCCACCACTGCCTCAGCTCAGACTAGGGGTCAGGGCCTTGAGCCTTCTGAGTCCCAGAGGCTCTCTGGGTGGGGTGGCTGCCTACAGAGCTGTAGAGGTGCTGAAGATGTGCGTTGTGTCTTTCCTCAGGCCGGCAGGTGAGGCTCTGGGAAGCAGTGGGCCCCCCACAACACGCAGCCTCTCCAGCAGCAGCAGCAGCAGCTCCAGCTCAGGCACCCCAGGGACTGGAGGGCTAGCACGGCAGAACAGCACCACACTGACTGGCAAACCAGGAACCCTGCCAGCCAATCTGGACGACATGAAGGTAGGTGGCTGTCCCCTTTCACTGGAGACTAAGCCACTGCTACTTGGCCTACCCCAGAGGGAAAAGGGGCGGGTGCCAGGCAGAGACAAGATAGAAGATGGTCCAGGACCACAAGGTGGGAGGCAGAGCAAGCTCCAGGTCTGATCCGCAGTGACAGGAAAAGAAGTTGCTCTAAGGTTCTGACCATGATTATAATGGTATCAGAAAGGGGGGCATTATCCCTACGAGTCCATAAGCAGCTGTGCATCTCCATGACCCTGTGGTGCAGAGTGAGCAACAGAGCCACTCCCTTCTGGGAGGAAAGCATGCGGCAGGCAGGGCTGTCACCCCCCACTCCATGCTGACAGTCAGTGCCACCCGCTCAGGTGCTGACTCCCAAGAACGAGTGGCCCGAGTCCTGCCTATTTTCTCTGCCCCAGTCAGATATAATGGGCCAAAGCCTGTCCTCTGGCAAGGCTTCATCCCAACTTGGATCCCAGAAAGATTGTGTTCGTGAGGGTCTTAAATTGATGGACTCCAGTGGGACTTAGGTCCTGTCCTGACCATTCAGTAACTCTGTAACCTCAGGGTGGTTTTATTCTGTGAGCTCAGTTTCCCCATCCAATGTGGAATCTGGTCTAACCAGTGATTTAATAATTGAGCTCCAGGCACTAGCCTGGGGCTAGAGGAGAGGACTTTAGGGGAGACGTTTCTAGGCAAGGGGCACCTCACCCTAGAAGGCTGTTGGAGGACTCAGGGAGTCATCTGAAGTGGCCCGTGGGATGCAGAGTTCTGAAGAAGGCCTAACTTGCACACTGCTCACCTTCCACAGCTTGTCCTGCTGCCTGGCCCAGTTCCCTTTATCCGGCCCTCAGCCCCTTGGTTGTTCTCAATCCCTGCAGGTGGCAGAGCTGAAGCAGGAGCTGAAGTTGCGGTCGCTGCCTGTCTCCGGCACCAAGACAGAACTGATTGAGCGCCTGCGCACCTACCAAGACCAAGTCAGCCCGGCTCCAGGAGTTGCCAAGGCCCCTGCCACAACCTCTCTCCTGTCCAAGGCTGGTGAGGTAGTGGTCGCCTTCCCTGCGGCCCGGCTGAGCACAGGGTCAGCTCTTGTAGCAGCAGGCCTGGCCCCAGCCGAGGTGGTGGTTGCCACAGTGAGCAGCAATGGCGTGGTGAAGTTTGGCAGCACGGGCTCCACACCCCCTGTGTCTCCCACCCCCTCTGAGCGCTCACTGCTCAGCACGGGTGACGAGAATTCCACACCTGGGGACACCTTTGGTGAAATGGTGACATCGCCGCTGACACAGCTCACCCTGCAGGCCTCCCCACTACAGATCCTTGTGAAGGAAGAGGGTGCCCGTGCTGTGCCCTGCTGCCTGAGCCCTGGTGTACGGGCTGAGCTGGAGGGGCTGGACAAGGACCAGATGCTGCAGGAGAAGGACAAGCAGATCGAGGAGTTGACCCGCATGCTCCGGCAGAAGCAGCAGCTTGTGGAGCTGCTCCGGCTACAGCTGGAGCAGGAGAAACGGGCCCAGCAGCCAGTCCCGGGCCCAGCTCCAGCCAGCACCCCTGTAAAGCAGGAAAGCAACTTCTCCAGCTGCCAGTTGACCTGCCAGCCCCAGGGATCCACTCACCCCTTTGGCCCTGGCCTGGTGGTCCCCACTACCAACCACGGAGACCCTCAGGCCTCAGCTGCAGCCAGCACCCCTGTGAAGCAGGAAAGTGGCCTCTCCAGCTGCCAGCTGACCTGCCAGCTCCAGAGCTCCACTCACCCCTTTGGCCCTGGCCTGGTGATTCCCACTGCCAACCATGGAGACACTCAGGCCCCAGCCCCTGGGCCCCCAGCCATGGTGATAAAGCAGGAAGCCGGGCTACCTGAGCCAGATCTCACCCCCAGCCCCCAACTGCTCCTGGGCCCACAGGGAACGAGCCTCCTCAAGAGAGTCATCCCTCCTACCCTGGTCACTGACTCTACAGGGACACATCTCGTCCTCAGTGTGACCAATAAGAGTGCAGATGGCCCTGGCCTGCCCAGTGGGAGTCCCCAGAAGGTAGCTGAAGGGGACACGGGTGGCACATGGGTGGAGGTGTTAAATCCTGAGCAGGTATAAGGGAGGTTTCTGTCCTGGGGAGGCTGTGGCGTCACACTCGGGAATCTGCTCCTTGAGGTCAGTTACCACTGTCTCAGACCTCACAGACCTGTATCCCTTCTTCCCCGGTGGCTCCCTAAAAGCTCCCAAAAGCCCCTCAGCTGGCAAAGCTGTCCCTGTGGGCAAGGAGGGAGGCCCTCTGTGCCCTGCTGCCCTCCCCCCACCAACCACTGCTTCTCCCTTTCTCTCATCCAGCCCTTGTCCCAGCCTGGCTCTCCAGCCCCTGGCCCACCTGCCCAGATGGACTTGGAGCACCCGCCACAGCCTCCATTTGCATCCCCCACTTCTCTACCGAAGAAGGAGCCACCAGGCTATGAGGAGACCATGACCCAGCAGCCCAAGCAGCAGGTAAAAAGGGTGATGGGGCTGGCAAGATAGCAGGTAAAGAAAGGCACTTGCCACCAAGCCTCAAAACCTGAGTTTGATCCCTAGGACTTACATGGTGAAAAGAGAACCGACTACTACTGGCTGTCCACTGACCTCCACATGTATTCCATGGCACGCACACATCTGCCCACACACAATAAACAAACACATTAACAGAAAGTTTTTTTAAAGGTGGTGGACATGGCCCAGTCCCACAGGGGGTGAGAGGCTGCAGCAGCAGGTCTGTGGTGAAGAAGTCTGGGGAGCAGCCATTACAGGGCAGAAGCACCGCACCAGGGTCTGGGGATAGTACAGCAAGCTGGGCCGCCAAGTCCAAGCTTAGACAGCAGTGTGGCTGCTCGCTTGGGTTGGGGGAAGGACCTAGGCTCAGGCCAGGTGGGCACCTGTTCTAGGTTTTCATGTGCTTTTCTGTTTCTGTCCCACAGGAAAATGGCTCCTCAAGCCAGCAGATGGATGACCTGTTTGATATTCTTATTCAGAGTGGAGGTAAAGCCCTGTCCCCAGATGCCACCCTTTCTCCTAGTCACATGTTTTAATGACTGCCACAAGTCCTGCTATGGCTACAGCAGTGACTGAGACACCACCATCTTGAAGACTGGGGCAGGCAGTCATCTAGAGGACCACCACAGCCCCTGGGACGTTATGGTGAACATGACATTGCCCTGTAGAGCGCAGGGAGAGAAACTGCACACATGAACAGCCCAACAGTGGGACAGTTCACAGGGAAGTCCTGGGGGCGCAGGTTCTGCGGCAACCCCCAGGAGGATATCAGTGTGGGGGCCCAGATGTCTGTGCTGGGGCAGTAGAGTGAGACAAGGCAGAAAAGCATGAAGGTCACAGCCAGATCACAAGGGAGCCTGGCTCCAGGTAGAGTGCAGGGAGCCTAGAGCAGAGTGCTGGCATGCCCCAGGGTCATTTGCTGTAGTGTGTAGGGGGGTTGTGTCCAGAATAAGCCACGTAGGGGCAGGAGATGTTTGGGAAAGGAGAGGCAACCACTAAACTCTAGCATTTAAGAGATGGCCGAGAAAGGGAAGTTTTAGAGTGCCGCCCATCCCCAGAGGGCCCATGAGGGTACCAGAAAGGGGTGCTTGAAAGGAATAGGCAGGGCAACAGCTCCATGGGGTAGGCCAAATCATCCAGGACCTGGAGGGTGAAACCAAGCACAAGCTTGGTTTGTGTAGAATTATTATGGTAGAGTATATAATAAAACGTCGCTCCTCTATTTTTCAACATAGGATGGGGTTCGTTAGGTACATTCAGGGTCGTGCCATCCACCTCTAGAACATTTTCACCTTCCGAAACTGAAAGTGGACCCCTTAGATAACTCCTCTGCACAGCCCTGTCTGATCTGATTTTGACCACTCTGGGGCCGTCTTGTAGGTGGACTCCTACAGTGCTGGTCTACCTGGGTTGACTCTACCTTCTTGCTGTTGTGAATGTTGCTGTCATGCGTGACTTTAAAACCTTGCTCTTAATTCTTTTGGCTAGATACCCAGAAGTGAGAGTGCTGGCTCATCTTGTACTTTTATTTTTGAGGAACCAGTCCCTCCTGTTTCTAAAGCTGCATCCATCATTTTAATTCCCCACCCCCATCCTAACCATGCACACTGGTTCCAGCTTTACCACATCCTCATCAGCACCATTTTGGTGCTGGGAATCAAACCCACCGTCCTACTTATTGTATGCTCCACTGCTGATCTGTACACCCTCAGGCCTTTTCTGTTTTCTAAGTTGCATTTCCCTAATGAGTGGTGGTGTGCGGCACCTTTTCATTTTGGCCACTTCTGGATGATCTTTGGGGAAGTACATATTCTGGATGTATGTATCCCTTATCAAATACATGATCGGAAATAGTTCCATTCTTTGGCAGTATCCTTGATGTCCAGGGGTTCAGGTTTTTTGGTATGTACTGCTGAGGATTTGAACCCAGGACTCAAGCATGCTAGGCCAGCACTGTACCACTGAGCCTCCACCCCAGCCACATTTTAGATGTTGATGTCTAATTTCTGTACCTGTGTGATTTTCTTCTGTGGTCTGAGGTACTAGGACAGCCGTCATTGTCTGCATATTCAGACTTGATTTCTGACCCCATTTACTGTCTCTATTGGCAGAAATTTCAGCAGATTTCAAGGAACCACCGTCACTACCAGGGAAGGAAAAGTCACCCTCAGCAGCAGCCTGTGGGTCCTCGCTAACAGCACAACCCTTGCCTTCCACTGAGCTCCCCCAGGCTGCCCCACCTCCACCAGGCTCTCCTGCCCTTCCAGGGCGTCTGGAGGACTTCCTGGAGAGCAGCACAGGGCTGCCCCTGCTGACGAGTGGGCACGAGGGGCCAGAGCCCCTTTCCCTCATAGACGACCTCCACAGCCAGATGCTGAGCAGCTCTGCCATCCTGGACCACCCCCCATCACCCATGGACACCTCAGAATTGCACTTTGCTCCTGAGCCCAGCAGTGGTATGGGCCTGGACCTGGCTGACGGCCACCTAGACAGCATGGACTGGCTGGAGCTGTCATCTGGTGGCCCTGTGCTCAGCCTGGCTCCCCTCAGCACTGCAGCCCCCAGCCTCTTCTCCACGGACTTCCTTGATGGCCATGATCTGCAGCTGCACTGGGATTCCTGCTTGTAGCCCTCCAGCTCAAGAGAGGGACTGTGGAAGGGCCTGAAGTTGGGGAGCCATAGAACCATAGCCAGCATGCACGCCCTGTGATTGAGGATTGAGTCTTGACAATCAGAGTCCCAGGACGCTGGAGCAGAAGGACCCTACCCCTGGCTCACCTAGGACAGGAGACATAAGCTGTTAAGTAACAACTCTGGGCCCCATGCTGGGGTTTTGGAAGGCTGACGAGAGCCAGGGCCAGTTCAATTTGACCTCCTTTTCTGAGGTCAGAGGTGCACATCTGGCTGCAGTTTGGCTCAGGTGGGGTCAGGGCCTACCCACCTTTCTTCTCTCCCCAACTCCTTTACTGTGAGGGAAGCTAGGCGGGCCTTCATTCCCTGTCAGCCAGTCCCTAGCTTCCAAAGCAGGGGAAGAGGGACAGTCTGCCATTTTAATGTGTTGGTATAGTGTAACCATTTAGCGGTTGGTGGCAAAAGTCATCTGTACAAGTGTATATACCTCTATATTATATACCAACATACATATCTATATTTTTGGGGGTGGGAGATGGGTATGGCTACCTCCACCAGCTTTCACATGCCGAAGGCCTGTGGCTACTGGGGGCTTGATACAGGGTCACCCTGAGCTACGTGCCACACAGTCCAGTGCCCAGTCGGGCATGCAGCTGCCCAGGCCCACCCCTCACGTGTGTTTGACATGTAGACACTGGCCATGGCCTACACTCCACCTGCCCTGCTTTCCGGCTCCTTTGTGCCACAAGGGCAGAGAGGCTTCCTGGTCTAACCCCCCAGGAGCGCTCTGCCCACCCACATTCCATCCCATTTCCTCGCTGTAGCCAACATGGACCTGGGACAGAGGGGCTTGGCAGCTGTGGCCACCTCGTGCCCACCATCAGCCTTGTTCCGATGCAATAGGGAGTAGGGATGGAGTTGCCAAAAACCAGTGCTGGGACAAAGGTGGGGAAGCTGTGTGAACTTTTTAAAATAAAAACACTGACTTGTCAGTCAATCATCTTCCATCCATGGCTGGGGCCCCGGGGCTGCTGTTCATACCAGCAATCTAGGGCCACACAGTGACCCAAAGCCCAAGTCCCATCACTCCTACTTGGGAGAAGCATTCAGCAAGGGTCCAGGAGCCAGACCATTCCAGAAGGGACACACTTGGTAGAGCTGTGACTGTGGCTGAAGAGGAGAGGTGTTCTCACAAAGTTTATTTACAAATCAAAGATCTTAGTCAAGAAGCCTTAACTGCCTTAAACCAACCCCCTTCCTGAGCAAAGTTCTACAGAGCTGGAGTCACACCAATGTCGCTCCGCTTCCGAGGTTTCTGGTTAGTACAACTAGATGGCTGGCACCCAGAGCTTCCTTAAGGACTCAGGCATGGTGCTCTCCAGCCTGCATTAAGGAGAGACAGGGGTAGTCCCCACCTTCTGCTCCTGCCAGTTGTGGGTGCCTGGAGTGGGAAGGCCTGAATCCTGATCATGACCCCCTGGATGGGCTCTGGAGTGTCTCATTCCCCAGACACTGTCATTAGGCAAGGCCTGGGCCACCTCAGACAGTCCAGAGCAGGCCTGAGGTTGGCCAGGGCTCCACCTTCTCTTTCTATTGGAGGAAGGGGCCTGCCAGGCATCCAATGGCTTGTGGGAAGCCTGGGAACCAGTGAGCAGCTAGCAGGAGCGTCATCCATCTATGTCCCAGCTGAAAAGGTGGTGCTTCACCAGCATGTCCTGAACACCCTCCTTCAGTGGCTGCTTCTCTTCCTGTGCACAGAAGGGCCCAGTCAAGAGTAGGGGCCACTCCTGGAACCACACAGGTTACTCCAACACAGACCCCGCCACAGACCTGGAAAAAGCCAGCGCCAGGGACCAACCAAGCCATACACGCACCTCTCTCTTTGCAGGGAGCTCCCAATCCTGGGAGAGGCTGAAGGCAAAGCAGCAGAGGACGCTAGGGGCCAAGGAACAGTCTCTGGTCAGCCAGGCCATTCTACCCACCCACTGGCCTTTACTACCACCAGGCCCTGTAGAAATGCCCACTCACCGGAGCTCACACTTGATCTGGACCCAGCCAGGGCTTCGCAGAAAGGACCAGGGCTGGTACCACTTCTCCACAGTGGGCAGGCTAGAGCAGAGCACCTCCAGCCACAGGTGCAGTACCTGCTCACTGGGGACAAGGCCAGAGGTTGGGGGCTGTGGCCCAAGGGGACCCCAACCTGCAATCCTTCCAGCAGTTCCTGGGTGCCCTCCATAAGGAAGGTCAGAACTTGAGTGGGTCCAGAATACTTAAGGACCCCCCTCTGGCTCTGCCCTACAGGGGTCCCATTTGAAGCTCCCCCACTTCTCTATACTTACTTGAGCCCCACACAGATCAGGGAGCGGAGTTTAACGTCCATTTGTGCGTGTGCTGCATCATGGGTCACATTCACAGACTGCACAGCCTGGGGAGGGCATGCTGTCACTCAGGTGCCCACTGGCTGGCCAGAGAGATTGAGGGGCTGGCAGAGTAACCCACTTACCCGGTACAGCAGCTCCTCGGGGGTCAGGACTTTGCCATCTTCATCCAACCTGCAAGAATAATAGTGCCAACACCGCCTACTGTGCCAGGCACTGGGCATACCCTCCCTGTACCAGCAGCCTGTCCCCATGCCCTCCCTGCACAGGGACCTGGCAGGAGGCAGACATGCTGGCTACCTGTATGTCTTACAGAGCACCAGGCGGGAGTACACAGAATCAAAGTCTCTTTCAACCTCCCGGCCCGCAGCCTGTGATGAACAGGACACTGTGAGTGTGGCGACAGGGACAGTGAGCACAAACCACCATCCTACAAGCTCCCTCCACCCCCTCTGCAGGGCCAGGGGAAGGAAGGACTGGGGTGAGCACCATGGGTACCTGTAAGGGATGGGAGAGTACTGGGGCCAGCAATGACGTTACCTCTTCGATAAACAGCCAGGGGTGGCAGGGCCCTCCAAGCAAGGATGGCTTCTTCAGTCCGTGTTCAAACAGGGCCTTGAGGGCCGGGCAGAGGGTCCCTCGCACAAGGTCTGTAACTCCTTCTGTCACAGAATCGTCCCCGGCAATGGAGTACTGATGGGGGTAAGGTGTTTGAGAGGCCCCAGCCTGATCCTTGCAGCCAGCCACCCTCCTGTCATCCTGGCTGCTGCCACAAGCCAGGGCTCACTTGGGATATGGACCTGGTAGGAGGGTGCTCCCTCGCCGGGGGCTGGGGCAGGAGCAGCTCCACCCTCTTCACCCTCTTACCTCTTTGCTCCGCTCATCCAGGACCTCCACAAACTTGGCTGGAAACCAGCCTGTGGGAGAAGCAGCCATGTGAGGAGCAGCATAGCTATCCCAACCCTTCTCCCCAAGGCCCAAGAATAAAGGGCTCCCTGGACCACACAGAACCAGCAAACGTGGTGTATTAGGCCGAGGAAAGCCCAGCTCCCCAGGGCAGCAGGGTGTAGCAAAGGTGCCCCTCTTCTTTGCCAGCCCTCAGCAGACAAAGGCCCTCACCTCTCAGGCCGTTCAGCTCACCCACCCAGCAGTGCTCGTCCTTCTGAGAGATGATCTGCACGAGAGGGACAGGACAGGGCTCAGTGCCTGACATGGCCTGACATCCTCAGCACCCTCTGGCTGAGACCCAGAGTTTCCAGCAGCAGTTCTTGGTAGAGGACAGGTGGGGAGCAGGAAGCAGTGGGCCTGTGTGCCAGGCCCCACACACCGTGATGATGTCATTTTTGCGGAAGCCTAGCTCATCATCGTCATGCCGCTCAAAGTCCAGCAGGGCCTTGGCCCTGCGCCGGTGACTGCGCAAACATGCCACATAGTTCTCATGGTCCCGCTGGTGGCTCTCCATGCTGTAGTCGGGGGTCAGCTCCTGCCAGAGAGAAAAGGTCCACGATGAAGGAGAAGCCTCAGTACCAGCAATGGTCGAGGAAAAGGAGTCCCAAGTCAGGCCTGGGCAGTCTGTCACTCACCACATTACAGTTCTTGGGGTCTGTGCACTGGAAATGGCGGGCCACACGCAAGATGGCTTCACGTAGGTCAGCCACCAGTTCTGTCTGCTTGATGTTCTTGGCCTTGAGGGCCTCCAGGTCATCCTCCCCTAGGAGGCAGAGTCACAGTAACGGCCCTGCCCAGCCTCAGGAGAGCCAGCGAAAACCCATACTGGTGCTCACCAAAGAGCAGGGAGGTGATGGCAGACTTCCTCCGTTGGGTCCTGCGCCGCACAACCTGTAAGTGAAGAAAAGAGAGCTGGTCAGCAGTGGTCAAGGTGGCCAATGAGGAAGAAGACAGCCTGCTAGGTCTCATTTTTGCCAGGGCAGCTCTAATAGTCTGAGGCTGAGATCAGAACAGCGGATGATGCAGGTCATTAGGAAGCCTGGGTCACCCCTTAGTGGTGGTCTGAGGGTCTAACTGGGTCATTCTGGGCACTGGTGCTGAGTTGAAGTGGTGTGGAGGGCAGCATGGCAGGGAAGGGCCAGTGTGTTCCCCACAGTCCCTCACTCTGGGCTTCCTTGCTGTAGGCTGAGATAGAGGCTGCCCACTCAGCCCACCTGAGAGAGGTTGGTGGGGGCACTGGTCCCGAGGAGCTGGCCCTGGTCTGCAATGAGGTAGGCCAGGTGCTTGCGACGCTGGGTCTCCACAGCCACATCAGTGAGGGAACCAGCCAGCCGCATGGCCTCTTCCAGCAGCAGCTCAGCATCCTCCATCTGTGCTGGGATGTCCGACAGTGTGTTGAAGATGGAGGCCGAGTTCTCTGACTGGATCAGCTCCTCCTCCTGAGTAGTGGAAGGGTAAGGGGTGATGCTAGCTCCATTCTCAGAGACCTATGCCCTTCAGTATTCCCAGCCCACACTCAAGGGCTTCTCTCAGCAGGGATTAAGGCTCAAGCAACATCGTGATGAAGCTCAGACTAGTGTAATATTCCCCTAGAGGTGAGCACCAGGGCTGCTGTACTTGGCACATGCTCTCCTGTTCTTGGTCTGGAAGCTAGGTGGCCGAGATGGGGGGAGAGGGGTAAAAGGCTCTGCACACCTTAAGGCGCAGCATGCCCAGCGTGGTTTGGAACAGCACCAGGGAGCCCTCGTAGAAAAACAGGTCCCAGATGCGCAGCAGCAGTTTGATGTGTACCACGCTGGCGAAGGCCGTGAGGAACCAGTGCAGTGTGATTAGAGACAGCTCTGCCAACAGACACCAAAGACCAGGCTGTGGCCTGTGGAAACACACTGGGCAGGAGCTGACCAGCTCCCAAAGAGCAGAAGGGAGTAGGGAGGGAAGAGGTCAGAAACCATCAGAGGACAAGAACAACATAGACCCTGTGGGCATCTGTCTATAGTCTAGCCATCAGCCCTCTACTGTCCAAAAGCCTCAGAGCAGAGACTTGGCGCTGGTATCCATGGATCCTTGGGCCCTGGGAGAGGGTGGTTGCCAGGCCTCACCGATGTCGTGCTCCTGGAGCAGCTTGTCCAAGCGAGGTAGGTACTGGACAATCAAGTGACGAAGGACCCGCTGGTCAGTCTGGACACCCAGTAGGGTGGTGCTGAAGTAGGAGGCAGGGAGCAGGTCCTCGATAACTGCACACATCATCCAGAAGGCATCCTCCTCCTCCAGGAACAGAAGGAGGCAGGCAGCCACCTGGACAGAGAGGACACAGGGCTTCTACCAAAGTACTCAAGTGAGTCTGAAAAGGTGCCCCTCTGGGACAACATGACCACACATGAAAGGCACTTGGGGATTGCCTCCTGAAGGCACAGTTCCTCAGGCTGGTAGGGAGGAGCCCTTAAGAGAGGCAGCTGCCCTGGCCCTCCTTGGGGACTTGCAAATCAACCCCTGCCTCCCATCCTTACTGCTGGGAAAGAGATCAAACCCCACAGAAGGCCTGGAGAAGACAAGACCCTGGTATACCACTTGCCTCCCAGAATTCTCACCATGCCCGTGCCCTGGCAGTAGCCAATCTCTGGGTAGAGCCAGGCCAGTGCTCGGAGGACTCTGCGCAGGCGAAGCACCCCAATGCTGTTCACACTGGCAAAGCAGGCATTGCTGGGCATGGTGCGGAGCAGGTCCTTCTCGATCTGTCAGACACCCACCCCGCAAGACCTTGTGAGAAGCAACTTTAGACTAATGCCTACCCAGTGAGAGAGGTAAGCTCTAGGAGGGATTCTGTTCCAGGAATGGGGATTCCCTCTGGTCCCCCTCCTTCAGGATTAGATCCCACACCAGCCACCTGGGATTCTCCTGCACAACCTGAATGAGCACCTCTGGCTTGGGTCTGTACTAAATCTCCTGCTGCTCCTAATGTGGAGCCTATCTCTTCCATGTCCTTGCACACACTGGGGGCTGTGGACAATTCTCCCTGCAGCCCTGAAGGACCCAAAAGGGAGCAAGTTTGCTCCAGGATCACATTCTTAAGAGGGATGCCCACCTGGCCAAGGAGCCCAACGAGGGTGCACTCCCAGAGGCAACAACATCCCTCCTGCCAAAGCACAGGGACTCTGGCCAGGAAGCTCCTGACCAGCTGGCTGCCCCAAGTCACCTGTTTGGCAGTGATAGTCTCATCATTGGAGCTGTTCTTTACAATCTCACGGTAGGATAGCTCAGAGTTCCTCTTCTTCTGCAGTGCTCCAGATAGTCGCATCCACAGCTGGGGGAAGGAGCAACCTGGCACTCAGTGTCTCTTGTGACAGGCCAGGCCACCCTCAGGCCTCTGTGTGTCCCTTGTCCTTGTGGCCATCTCACCTGTGGCCTCATGCCATGTGGGATGCCAGCCAGCACTAGGGAACGGAGTTTCTCAGAGCGTGGGAGGGAGACTGCAATCTTGTCCCAGGTGAGATCCCCCACATCGTGGTTGTGGGTAAACTCCAGGTGGGCCTGCCACCGCAGCCTCTGCGGGGGGTCCTCCACCAGTAGTGTACTTGTCAGTTGGCTGCATCCAGGCTCAGCACCTTCTGCCAGGGGAGAAGAGAGCAGAGAAGTGTTTTCCTCACTCCACACAGCAGCCCAGTCTGTTCTGACAGAGCTTGGAGTCTTCTGGCCAGGAGACTCCTCAGAAATCCAGAGTCCACCACTTTCCTGAGGGCTCCGGCTGCACAGCCTTCCCAGTGGCAAGCAGGCTAGGCGAACCCTTCTCAAAGCTGCTCCAGACCCAGAAGCCAATTCTCCACCCTCCAGAGGCTAAGGAATGAAACCTGGTGTTACCTTTGACTCCTCCCTACCAAACCCCACAGTTCTTGCCTTACACCATGTGAGTCCCCAGGACTGAATTCAGGTCATTAGGCTTGGTGGCAAGCATCTTTGCTCATACTCTGCCATCTCGCCTGTCCCAGGCATCCCTACTTCTTACCACCGCTAACTACTGGCCCAGACCAAGACACCAACCTTTGTAAGGGTCATGGCAATGGCTATCTCACTGCCCTCTGTAGCAGTCACAAAGGCCCTTCCAGGATACAGCAAGTGATGTCACTGCCGAACCTGCTTGTGGCCTGCTTCTTGGGCGCAAACCCAAAGGCTTTCTAGGCGCCATCATCTGCACCTCAGTCCTCACCTCCTACACTTTCCTCTTGCTCCCTCCACAATACAACACCAGCCCTTCCCCACCAAATCCACCCACTCCTTGGGACCTTTGCACCTGTCACCACCTTCTCCCTGGCCTCCTCCTAGTCTCTAGTCAATTTCTTTCCCCCTCTGAGAAGCCTCAACCACCTTATAATAAACTTACCTCCACTCTTTGCTATCTGTGCCGTGATCTTTATTGATAGCTTCTTGCTGCCCCTCCCCCACCCCCACCCCCAGCATGCTCTGTCTGCTCGATTATGGCCTATCTCCCCACCAGAATGGGAACTCCATATGGTCAAGATCATCTTTGGGGGCACAGATGGAAAAGGGCACAAGCCATTATAGCTCCATGAACTGTCTGAATCAACAAGGATGAAGCTTGTGGCCAGCAAGCAATCTCTGAGGTAAGTCCTGTCTGCAGAGCCTCCTCCTCGCTCAAAATAAGTCAAGGCCGCCTGGCATGGCGGTGCATGCCTGTGGTCCCAGCGCTTGGGAGGCAGAGGCAGGCGGATCTCTGTGAGTTCAAGGCCAGCCTGGTCTACAGAGTGAGTTCCAGGACAGCTGGGGCCACAGGGATACCCTGTTTCAAAGACCGAAAAATAAAATAAAAATAAGTCAAGGTCTCAGCCCAGCTCTGAAAAATCTCAACCTTGGTATGAAAAAATCTCAACATATGGAAACATCACATACAAGTTCTAACTCTGTGTTTTGATAGGAATCAAATATCTAAACATTGCTCCACATTGTAACAAGTCAGCACTTGGCCTCTAAACCTGGTGACCTATAGAGATACAGATGACACCCACCATACTAGAAAGTTCTGTGTTCCTCTTAAGCTCAGCTTTTAACTTCTATCTTCCTGAACTTAGAAGAACAAGGAAACCTTCTGTTTGTGTTAGAAATGTGAGTGATTGGAGCTAGAGAGATGGTTCAGCGGTTAAGAACACTGGCTGTTCTTCCAGAAAACCCAGGTTCGAATCCCAGCGCCCACATGGCAGCTAACAACCATCTGTAACTCCAGTTCCAGGAGACCCACTCTTCTGTCTTCCGAGGACATTGCATGACACGGGTGCACTTAACCACACGCAGGCAATACACGCATACACATAAAATTAAAAAAAAAAAATAAAATATTTTAAAAAAAGAAATGTGCCAGGCGTGGTGGCGCATGCCTTTAATCCCAGCACTTGGGAGGCAGAGGCAGGTGGAGATCTGTGGGTTCAAGGTCAGCTTCGTTTACAACCAAGTTCCAGGTCAGCCAGGGCTACATAGTGGGATCCCTCCTCCCCTCCTGCCCAATTTTTTTCAGTGGCTATATTGGTCGGCAAAAAAAGCTTGTTCTCTTAAAACTCTACTTAAATCTAGGGGATTAAAAATTGCAAAAGAGGAAAGCTTAAATTTTGGAATGAGGTGTACCAATTTGCACCCTGGATCATATCCGCAGACATATCTGATCCAGAGGTGTGGAACTTTCTTTCACATTTGGCTTATAAAAAAATCCAAGAAAAACATGATTTTCCTCTTTCCTTTTTCCCAATAATGGCAGGCATCCAGCAGTGCTTAAAAAACCCACCTAAAATTGAAGAAAGTTTACAGACACCAGAGAATAATAAAAGATAGGTTTTAGGTGATAAAAAAGACCCTAAAAACAGACCAGTAACAAATTCAACAACTTCAAAAATAAAATCTGACCAAACCAGACAAA